AAAGCAGCACAGTCACAGCGAGCGAGCGTCTTGAGCCTTCTCAAAGCAACAGGCACCTTTTCACCATATCAGAGCAATGAGCAAGAAGCAGCCACTGTTTCACTAAAGGAAACAGCAATTCTGTTAAAAAAGTCTCAGAGAGGAATGACGGAAGATTCTTTTGACTCAGGATCGGTGACAACTTACCGGGTAGAACGGCAATTTTAGCAGGAACAAAGCAACCACTTTGAGCCAAGACACACAGCTGGCACACCTGCTTCAGGTACGTGGACTTTCCGGTCTAAATTATAAACTTCCTTGAATCGCTTGTTTTAAACAAAAGTCTGACAGTGCTGCTGTAGTTCAGGATACAAGTAAACGCACCCGCTTCTTTTTTCCCCAGACACGAGTCGCCCACATTCGTCGTCTGCATTATCTCAGAGGTGAACGTGTGTAGCGGAAGGGATCTATTTGGCTCGGAAGGGGCATTTCGCACTTGAGCTAGTTCCCCTGCTAAGTCTTGTTATCTCGAGTGATTTATCTTGTGAGACCTGCAGGCTCTCGAAGCTACTTCAGATGGCTTCAGTCAGCGTTCAAACCTCGCGACCGAAGCGCTGCCGTCACGAAGTCTGAACGCTGCCCTACAGGAAGTTCCAAGTCTGCACAACAGGCACCGGCAGTGATAGATTGGAGCCAAGAAAATGCCCCCACCAAGCCCAACAGCGCCGGGATCATCTTCTCGACTAGGGAGCGCCCCGACTACGAGTACACTGACACTCGCATTTTCTCCAAAAACAGAACTGACACTTTCAATACAAGTGTATCGCTAATTAATGGTAAATTCTTGAATCCGAATTACAAAAGCTCAGTGTACCAACCATGTTCGGTCCCGTGATGATCACAACGCGTGAATCAGTTGTGAGATACTGAAAAAAAAAACCAGCAAGATATAATTATACAACCACTAAACATAGATATAAAGATGAAGTTTACCGTATCGTTAGAAACCACTTGATCTCCTATGGAATAGTCGAGTAGTGGATGTCTGCCCTCATTTATGATAATACTACTTCCAAAACGTGGACGAACTAAAGTAAATATTGAGAATGGTCAAATCTAGAAAACTCCAACAGCTGGAAGACTGCACAAACAAACGTATATAATCCCGATGG